TGGATTATGGCCCCCAAGTGATCACATGCAGGAATGTGCGAGGCACATTCGTTGTGGGCGGAGCCTGCCCCAAGGTGGGTGGAGCCAAACTTAAAAAATTCGCAAAACGCTTCCAGAGCACTCTAGACACCGGGAAAAAGTTAGTTTAAGGTACTCGATCCGACGGTATTGGTTGAGAAGCGCGGGGCAATCGTTGTGGGCGGAGCCTGCCCCAAGGTGGGTGGAGCCAAACTTAAAAAGTTCGCAAAACGCTTCCAGAGCACTCTAGACGTTCTGGAAAAAGTAGTTTTAAAGAATCAGCGATGGTGTTATTAGTGAGTAAGCGCGAAGGCATACATGCGTGGGCGGGGGTGCCGAAGTGGTGGGTAGAGCAATTTTAAAAAATTTCCAGAGCACTCCAGACACTGGGAAGAAGTAGTTTAAGATCAGCGAGGGGTCACCGGTTCACAAGTGTCAGGCATACCTGTCGTGTGTGGAGCGTGCGTCAAGGTGAGCGGGACCAGCCTTAAAAACTCCTCAAGCGGTTCCAGAGCACTCCAGACCTCTATGTGATACGGCCCGGCTTTGCGGGGCGTCGCGCTTACCTGCATTCGTATGATCAAATGCTCGACTAATACCCGGCTTTTCTCTCATCTGCCCACTTCATCAACGCTCCGTGCCACCACTCCATTCACTGTAATAGTGTTGAAAGTAGCAGATGCTATTGGTCAAGGAATGTTGACCACCTGTTCAGGTTAAAGAAAAGCCTGATATTAGGTGGCTAATGAAATGAGTGGAATAAGGCAAGCGCGGCGGAGCTCGACGAAGCCGTGCTGTATCTCAGAAGGAGGCGCGCCGGTGTCAGCCGGCGAAGCCGGCTGGTTACCAATATCTCTGAAAAGTATCAAAAAAACAACGGGCTCTGCTTTCAGACTTTCTTCGATGCCAACTTCTACGAAGCAAAACAGTCTTGTGCTACCATGGTCGCTCATCCTTGCCTCTATCCACAGCTCCGCAGAGAACAGCTTTGTTGCCGGTGAATTAGGGGTATTCACCATAGGCCGACCTTGCTACATGTTTTCTATATCTGTTCTCTGGCTGAGTTCAAAGTGGATTGCACTCAAGCTTACCTAAGGTTACTCTTACTCTGTTGTCCCTGCACTGGACGCACATGAAGCATGGCGTGCAGAAAAACGGTAGTGCGACCTTCTCGCTGATCGAAGGGGTGGAATCCCAGTGTAAGCTTCATGTAAGTGTACTTGTAGCAGCTCCTATCTATTTTGATGGGAACCCGTTCTGTCGCCCTCGAGACTTCCACTGCTGCAGCATTCGAGAAATCGCGATGAAGCGTCGTAACGAGAACGCCATCCCATCCTTCTATACTTTCCTAAAAGAAGGAGCGACCAGCGCCGATTGGTACAAGTGTGTGAAAGTTGCTTTTACCCTCGTGCTTTTCTATTCTCTCAGAACACAAGAGGCCGGTGTCGACCGAGACTGTCTGCGTTTGCGCCCGTTTAAAGCATCAATAGTGAGCTAACGCCGCGCAGGAAAGGTGCGTTCAACGTGTGTCTACCGTCAACCATAGAAAGTACTACTTTTATCCGCAATTTAACAATGAAACGATCATACCCGAAATTTCCTATGATATGAGCAAACAAATTACAAGGCACTTCAATAGGAGGCGAGAAAAGGAATATTCCAATTGAAGGGCACAACAAAAAGAGAACATGAGGATATGCACAAGTACGGTTAGAGAAACGGTGACGGGCTCAAGAGAAGAGCCACGTTGAACTGCCATAGAAAGCAGCAGAGCCTCGACTTGAATAGAAGAACCGTGTCGACTCATCGGTCCATTCTCCAGCCGACTCCCTCTACTTGCCTCCTCCGCCGCTTCATCACGCCTCCTGAAAACATTCAGATGAGTCATGTTCTTCCACCGCCGCCACGAGGCGCGGCTTACACAATATGCCATTAATGGTGGCGCGTCGCTGCGCGTTGTAGCGCGTTACAGCGCATCATCAGGCGTCATTGCGAAATCTAAGCAGTGCCTTACTATCAGGGCATCTTCAAAAGATTATAGTCTTCGATCAGCAGAAAGTGTGTCACTGCATCTATGACCCCCGGTGTGGTCATCTTAGTATAGATACCGTGTTCAGAGGCGAAGCGCGAGAGCGATTTTTTTTTCTCCACAACCGTGCCAGCGCTCCATCCAAACCTACGTTCGCACCTAATCACAAGACCAGGCCACGACCTAGTCGTGGAGTCGTCCGCCAACGCACACTTGACTTAGCAAGAGATTTCCACTATTCCGAATTCGGCTTTCTTAAAAGGTACACCATCCTTCCCGCGAAGGTTTTAGGGTGCCGTTCGGTTTGGGGGCGGGGCATTTTGCTAGGTTACCATCGATCATGCTGATGCCATCCGCGGAGTCTGAAGACTCCTGTGAATCTGCAATATGCAATAGAGGGATGTTCGTTCACGCGTGGCAGTACCTGATGGATCTCATAGAGATTAGACGTGTAATGAACGGGAACTGTCAAAAGGAGAAAAAATGGCCCTATTTGGCGCAAAGGCATGGTGCCCCTCTCACGCCGAATAGGGCCATTTTTTAAATTTTTTTCAGGGACAGTAATTCAAAAATTATCTTCACAGAAGTGGTTAACCCCGACCTACGTTACGATAAACTTTTGCAGGTTTGTCGAAAACAGGGAAAGCCTACACAAAGCCAAGTTCTTTATCATGGATTGGCCTATGGCAGGCCTGCTACCCTATTAGTACACAGTGGACATGGACAGATGGGACGAGTTTCGATTACTCGAGTTGTGCATTGGGAGAGCCAAATAACGGCGGACGATAACGAACGTTGTGTTCAGGTCAGTGAACCCAGAAGTTTTAGGTTAAAGGCAGTGTCCGCGTTTAGTTGAGACTTTCCTCTCCCTTCGTGAGCAGGTGGTCAGGTCCGCAAAGGCAGCGATTACACCACTTTTGCGGCGCAACAAGTGAGGAGGCCCACGATGCCGTCGTTCTTCTCATTGGCCCAACCTACAATCATTGGCACCGCCCACCATTCATTTCTAATGGTTACCTGATGGTGCGGTTGTTTCGCTGCTGCTTCTCTCCACGTCGAGTGGTGAGAGTGAGGTGATAAGGGAAAACAGCTGATATCAACAAGTGAGAACTCGTGCGACCGCACCTTCTCTTCGCCTTGAGCACGTACAACCTCAATTAAGCAAGGGGTTCTATATAGAGCCTTTCCTATGATTTCTTTCTGATTTTTCTTCACTAAGGGGTTACTTGCTACCTTGTTATAAGTATTTGAGCCGCATAACTCATCAAATTTGAATGCGGGCTCAGCCTTTAATTAGTGAAACTACTGGTCAAGCAGTACAGAAGGCACATGCAGCTGGGGTGGACCACGGGGCGGCTCTGAGCGACATTGAGAGAAGTTCTGATGATCACGTTCGAGAGCTGAACCTGCTCCCTGTCAATGCGTGCGTCGCCAGTTTCGCACCATGGGGCCAGTATTCACTGTTTAACCAGTACATGGTCTAGTAATATTGATGATTAGCAATACGGCAGTGGATGTTTTGTAACTAACTAAAGTTTTGAAAAAGCCACTCTGGATAGGACCTGTACAAAGACCTGTTTGGTAGCGCGAGGGAAGGGGGGGGGGTGGGAATCAGCCGTTACACAACTGTGAAGGAGTTTGAGTTCACCAGCTTCAGAGAGGTGCAAGACTTAGCTGGCTCCGGCAGGATACAATCAGAGACTTGATCTCCGGCCAGCAAGCTGAAGCAGCTGTGCCGCTACACGTCACACGCACGTCTGCCCACAAATTGTTCTATATTATAATAATTTCAGATCTACAGCGATCACGAAGGAACAGATCCGACGAAGGATACTCAGTTCCAGAAATGGAATGACTACTACTATGGAATGACTGCTACTACTATGAAAGCATATTTTTGCAAGAAACCAGCTTTACATTGGACATGTTTGCCTTTAATGAAATCAAAAATTGTAGAAACTATGATAAATCGCTCTGCAAGGTGTCTCACTGCACAGCTTTGAGACCGCAGCATATGTTAATTCAAAGTCCTGGTCACACGAAGCGTGCTACATCACTGTAAAGGCAGTTGGCACGATACCTCTTCAAGACGAGAGCGATCAATACGCCTAGCACGACGGAATCCCGTGCCCCTGCGCAAGCGCCCTTTAACGCCTTTTCCGAAGGGAGGCGCCTTCAACAGGCCCTATGAAGCTGCAAAATACCGACCCTAACGCCTACCGCGCCCGCCCGCCCACAAATGGACGACCGTACCTGATGCTCGCATTGCTTCATTTCCTAAGTGAAAAATGAAGCGAAGGGATTGACATGAAGCGGCCGCTGTGCTGCATGGATGTGCATATCAGTACATACGTGCAGCTGTACCTACCGTAGCGCTTATTGACAAGACTCGGCCACTGGGAGACTCGTCCGAAATTGCTTTTCGAGTCATCAAGAACGAAGGCTTTCCTTCGCAGGTTTTTGACCGTTTCACTTCGTTTTTCGCCATTTTCCACTGTGTAGCACCCTGCTAGCCCGAGTACCTAGAACCATTTTCAGACCGAGTACCAAATTATTGTGCCATATGCCTTTGAGGCCGTAAAGGCGCTCCGTCAGACATTAGACACAGGGCGCGTAAAGTCTTGACTAAATACGGCCCTCCACCGGAATTTCTTTCACCGACGCGACCCCTCTCCTTACCTACCTTCATAATCATTGAACGTTGCTTCTCAGAAATTTGAGGGGGAGGTACAACTCTCAGTAGTTCTTCTCAACAGCACTCAGCAATCGAAAAAAAAATTCTTCTCGGCAAAGTACGAGCCCTGTTCTTGGCAACCGTCACAACTCGATTATGCTTTACACAATGGATGATATGCTTGTCGTGATCAGACAGCGGCCCTCAAGGGAGGCATTCTTTTCCTCTTCTAATTACTATTTTTTTCTGACCGCGTTTTACTGAGGTGTCTCTGACCAGGTGTTATCGCAGATTGGTAGAAATATCGGAATTGCAGTGGGGGGGAAGACACTTCGCCCGAGGCACATATCAGTACAGAATACGCAGCCCAGCCAGAAAAAAGACATGGATACGAGTATCAGGGCGGAAGATAAATGATAATGCTCCTCGACAAGCAGAAACAGGCTCTCGTCCATCACCTTCATGTACAACAAAATATGTAGCCATCTGCAATCCAGTCGAACTGAAGAAGGCCTATGGAGTTCATCTCCAAACAGCTGCGAAACTTCTTGTATCGAGTCACCCATGGACAGCTACCTGGAACCGGCACCTTGATCTGGAAGACCTCCAACATCGAGCAGCTCCGACAACGTCGCTACGGTCCAGGATATCATCTTCACTGCAGTCGCCAACAAGCCGCGGTCCTGGCTTTACTTTCTCTCCGTTGATGGTATATGGCGCCAGAAGTTTCTGCGAAAGGAAAACGGCAATTGACGGCCTCCAGACCGAAAGAAAGGCTCGGACTGTTACATCAGCCCAGGTAGAGGAGAATATACTACCTTCCATGTTCGCTCGCCCGCCCACCATGCATGCGAAAGTTCCCGCCCCACTGCCTACACAGGCATTGAGTGTACCAGCTCATGGCAACTCCGACGAAAACTTCCGGTCCCGGCCCCTACTTGGCAAAGCAAAGTGCGATTGATTATCTGGAAGAAGACGGCGCGTATCCTCCCAATCTCCATCATCCTCTGACTGAACCCCCTCGGTTACCGGTTTGGGTGGAGGTAAAAAGGATGGTCCACAGGGCAGGGAAATCAACGACTTCGCTGAACTCAGGCACCGAATCACGGTCGCGTGGCAGAATCTCTCGATGGCGCTCGTCCAGAAGGCTGTGGCGGAGTTTCGTGATAGTGTGCAATGTGTTGCTTGAATTTGATGGTGAAAATGTCCAGTAAGAAACCAACCATATCTCGCTTTGAAAGGAAAAAAAAAGTTTTTTCCGGACCCCTCCCCCATGTGGATCCGACAGGGCTACCCTTGACTCATTTTTCAGAGATTTCATAATTTCATTTCTGTCTTCAAGCAAAGGCATTATAATGATCAACCCTGGCACCACAGCGCGAGCGTAACTAATAATTATCCCCAAACAACAAAGCAATACACCATTGCAATACATTGCGTTTTCTCAGAGTTGACATCCTGTTCTGCAGCCTTCATGTTTTCTGACGAGCCCATAGCGTTCATTATTTGGTTTATATCGGTGCTTTCAATTCTGAGCAACGTGATTTTTATTATTATATATCATCGCTGTCCTCTGAAGAAAATAAACTCGTATAGATATTTTTTCTTATTCACTGCAATACAGGATATTATATTCTCCGTGAATTTTCTCCTTTCGATACCGGTAAGATAATTTACAATTCAGAATATTGAAACCATATAAAGACCTAGCGCACAAATGAGATCGATTGGATAACTTTTGCTGCTTGTTTTGAGGGAATGTTCAGGAGTAGCAAGAAAATATCCACAAATATGTTGGAATGAAAGGGATAACCAGTGCAGCAGCTGTAACTATCATTCAATGAATGAAGGCATATGGCACGATAATTCGACAGATAATTCGGTACTTGCTCAAAAATAGTGGTAAGAGGGTTTTATAAAGTGGAAAAAACGTCAAAAAGTAAAGTGAAAAAGATGATCATTAGATGAGCATTTTCGGACGAGTTCTTGGCATCACTCCAGCAAACACTTTGATAGATACCCCTACACGTATGTACATACACACATATCCATGTAGAGGCGGTTGCAGTGGGCGTTCGGGTCAACATGTTGCACGATGGCAGGCTGTTCAGTCAGGTGCTATAAAGGCGCCCTCGGCTGGAAGAGGCACCGCGTAATCCCTGCTTGGAACACAATACTGCTCTGTGTTAGCTGCATCTACCCTAACGCGGCATCTACCGTGCCCCTCAGGGTACAGCATGGGGATGTGCGAAATGGCGGTGTGAGTACGACCCCCCCCCTCCCTCGAAGAGGGTCCAGTTACGACCCCCCCTCCTGCTCTAACTGACAACCAGATGCATGTTCACACCAAATGGCTTCCTGAAATGGAATCTGGATTTTCGAAAGGCGGACTCTGCTCTAAAATCCAGGCAATAATAGGCTGTTTCAGCCTCATGCAATATGAGGCTGAACAACAGCCTCGCATTACCTACAATTTTGTCTTAGGATTCAAAATAAAACTCGTCGTTCGACAACCATGTATGACATGCAACTTGTAACAAGGAACACAATCGAAACAGCGACTGATCATTGATAAGCTAAATTGGTGAAAAAAATAGCCCCAAGGTCAGCGTGTCAGGCCCCAGATGTGCATTCAATGAATGGTGACGGGGAAATCATGAAAACATGCACGACACAACAAAGCGAAACATGAAAAATACAAAAAATGCGGAGCCAAATGAAAAAAATGGATAACCAGGCGGCAGTATATCGTTCTATACTTGGCTATTATCGATCGCAACGTTGCGACCGCTTTCATTGGAAAAACGTCATTGGAGCGCGGTTGTTGGGCCTGCCAACGTCCTGGGGTCTTTTCGGGGGTTATATCTCTTTGAGGGGCGCGGCTTTTGATGAATGGTTAGCAGCATGCAACGGGAATGTTCCTACTGTTGCGTTTTCTACCCAGTTGCAATCTGAATGTTCCCCGTTCGTGAAATATTTCGGATGGGTTTCGGATCGGCTAGGGGTAAATGGCAAGCGGGTTTTTATGCTTCACACGAGGATTACTTATTTCGAACGCAATTTCATCAGGATTAAAATCGTCTTGAAACCGCCCTATCTTTTCTCTTTCCAATAAGACAGTTTTCCTGAAGACCCGCTAGTTCAGGAGATATTTTAGATGGGTCACAGACGCGCTACCCTCTGACCCACCCGAAAAATCGACTCCTTCTGTGCCATTGTGAGGATACACCTTCGGAAACTTCAGTGTGCCTTCAAAACACATATTTCCCTTCAAATGAGTGAAAGAGGAGCTCGGCTATCACTGATCGATTTGGTCCGAGTGTGCGCCGTGCATTACGCTCCTACGCAGAGGTGGTGGAAAGGTGTAAATTCTGATTTCAGGTGCTTTTATCCATGCAAGCAGATGTTTGTTTAGGGTTTGGAAAGGACAATACGCACGAATCTGTTTGAGACGTATTATTTAGTCATCTACGTACTTACGAGTTCATGCTATAATTGATATTTATTATTTATTTATTTATTCTTGCTATATTGCTAATCAATTTTTTATTATTTTGTAGTCCTCCTTACATCCGGGTCTTCTGCAGCTTTCCGTCCGTTCCATCAAACTTAGCAATGACACTTTTGTACTGTTTGATGCTTAGCGAGCCTACATTTTGCGATACTCCCCACGTCCCCCGCGGCAAAGTACTGTTCAGGAATGATAGTAGTAGTTTACACTAAGTGATAGTAGTACTGGGCGATACCAGATCATTCCTGTATAAAAGACTGTTTGTCGAGTATGGTTCACTTTTCGTTCGGCTTCGCTTGGACCTAATAAACGACTACGCTGCTCGCGGTGTGATACAGAACATCAGGATCAGCCAGCACCAAGACTACCAGGAACAAGATCTACCAGCCAAGGATCTCAAGATGCCAAAGTCCTCCGGAGACGCAAATCCTGCCCCAGCCACACTTGAGGTACTGCTTCAGTCTATGATACAACAACTTCAATTTCAGCATGAAGAGATGAAATTTGTAGCAGATGAAGAGGCCGGACTGAGAACAGTGGCAAAGACTGTATGGATGGCCAGTACGACCAACTGAACAAGGAAGTTCAGAAATTTGTAGCAGATGAAGAGGCCGGACAGACTTTCGACTATTGGTATAAAAGGTACGGCCCAATGATTCGAGAGTCGAGTGTGCCAGATAGCAAGAAGAGAGATCTTATTCTGTTGAAACTGGAGGATAGCGCATATCGCAGGTATGCAGATGATATTCTACCGTTACAACCGCACGAGATTGACTTCGATTCCACAGTAGCAAAGCTCCAGAAGTTATTCGCATCCAAGAAAACGTTAATTCGACGACGATATGAGTGTCTGAAGATAACTTGCCCTGCTCTGACCTCAGACCGAGAATACACCAACACGATCAAAAGGATGGACGAAGAAGCTTGCTCAAAGGAAATGAATTATACGGCGTTGAAGACTTTGCAGTTCGTCGCAGGTCTTCAGGACCCTTCACTCCAGGAAGTACGTCTTCGAATGCTGCGTAGGCTTGATACGCAAGCGGAAGACACGCCGTTGACAATCGAAGATCTCGTTGCTGACTGTGAAAATTTCACAGCTTTGAAGATGGATAACGCCAATATGGGAACAAGCCATGACATCCATGCTGTTCAGAAAAAGAAGGTTAAATGCTTCGGATGTGGAGGACCACATTTTAAGAGCGCTTGTCCACTTCTCAAACAGATCTCCAAGAAACCGAAAAGGCAGCACCACCGTCGTAAAAGGAAGCAATGCCGGAATGTCGCAACTTTTGCCCCTGAGAAAGCAAGAACATACGTCGATGTCGATGTCAGAGGACATCCTCTACGTTTCCAACTCGACACTGGAGCAGATATCACGCTGATATCTCGTCGAACATGGAAAAAGCTCGGATCCCCACCCTTGGAATCCTGTAATATGCCAGTTAAAACGGCAGACGGATCACCGATGAAGATTGATGGAAGATTCTCCACAGACTTCTCCGTGAAAGACCGCACTACGGGAACGAAGGTTCAAGGAAATGGCTATTGCTGTGTCAAAATACAATTTACTCGGTATAGAATGGTGCAACTTCCCGCATGAAAGGAATTGCAAAGCAAAAACCTCTGCCAAATGGTGAGCGAAGCGGAAACTGCCCGAGCACAGTTAGTTGCAGACCTGAAGAAGCGATACGCAGAAGTTTTCAGCTGCGAGCTTGGTCGATGCAAGAAAAGGAAAGCGAAGTTGTTCTTGAAGGAAAACACAATACCTGTTTTCAAAAAGAAGCGACCAGTCCCTTATGCCTCCGTGCCAGAATTAGATGCAGAGATTGATCGTTTGGTCTCCACTGGTGTGATTTCACCAGTTGATCATTCGGAATGGGCCGCTCCCGTCGTTGCAGTCAAGAAGAAGAATGGACAGATTCGTTTATGTGCCGAATTCTCAACAGGATTGAACGATACAGAAGAGGTGTTCACACGGCTGAACGGAGGGCAGATTTTCACACAAATCGACTTAGTAGACGCGTATCTGCAGATAGAAGTCGAAGAAGAATCGAAGGCGATGTTGACGATAAACACACACAAGGGACAATACCGTTACAATCGTCTACCCTTCGGAGTCAAATCAGCACCTGGCATTTTTCAACAGATTATGGATTCGATGATCTGTGGACTGAGAGGCGTTGCTACATATTTGGACGATGTCATTGTCACAGGCCGCACATATGAAGAGCACCGCCAGAACTTGGAAGCGCTTTTTGACAGAATATCTGAATATGGCTTCCGTCCGCTTGGAGAAATGCAATTTTTTTCATGCCGAGGATTCGCTACCTTGGATCCATCATCGATAAGGCTGGAAGACATCCTGATTTAGAGAAAGTTGAGGCTATTCAGATACCAGCCCTAAAGATCGTTGCAGAAGTGCGTTCGTTCCTGGGAATGATCAGTTATTACGGATCATTTGTGGCAGAAATGCGTCAGAATACGCGCCCCACTTGACGAATTATTGAAGAAGAATAGCTCTTTCCACTGGACAAACAAATGTGAAGAAGCTTTCCAACGTGCCAAAGACGTGCTCGCTTTGGATTTACTTTTGACACATTTTGACCCCAGCTTGGAAATAATAGTCGCTGCTGACGCATCGGACTATGGAATTGGAGCCGTTATTCTTCACAAGATGCCAGATGGTGCAGCGAAGGCAATATGCCACGCTAGTAGAAGTGTCACTGCGGCAGAAAGAAACTATGGCCAGATTGAAAAGGAGGGACTTGCCTTGATATTCGCTGTTCGG